AGATAGTCCCCAGGTAGACCATTCGATCCAGGGTTCAGTTCCTCAAAATCTCAGCTTTGAATTTTGCATTCTCTGTGTCGGTGATGATTGGAAATATTTATTTGAGATTCCTGGCAGTTAGTTTCAACCGTACTGTTGGGGTTACAAAGCTTTTTTTCACATCAGTTTTTGTTTACTTGATGACATTGAATAAAGAGACTATGTTTACGTATATTACCCTTATTCCTGTTGTTACTGTGGTTATCATTATCAGCCAGGGTGAACTGAGTTTTCATCTATTCTGGTTTTATCATGTGCGTTTCATCCCCAGCGGCAAGAATTCCATGAACATCCTTCTGTACATGGTTCCTATAGTTGATGTGTTTCTACTTCCTACAACACTCGTTGTGGAAAAAAATATGACCAGTATCACTCTGGTACTTACCTGAGACGATATCAAGATCAATTGGAATCTCTTATTCAATTCATCACTAGCATATTTTGTGAATTTGACCAACTTTTTGGTCACGAAACACACTAACCTCTCACCTGTATTCCCCATGAGTTTTGTTCTTAAGAAGTCTTGTGACATCATATAAAAGCTTTGAACACTGAGAAAAGAGCTTCCTTAACCAGAAATTTATGCAGAAGCCATAGGAAGAGATGAATGCGTTGTCAAATGTTTTATGAACATCTGGACAGAAACCACATGAGAGGATAAATGTGTTGTTAAATATTTTCCGAACCAGTGATTATGGTGCCGAACCAATGTTGCTATCATATGGTGTTTTCATTTATTGATCTGAGATAAAATTTTCTTCAACCCCAAGGTTTGAAATGAGATATGATGAAGATTTCTTTCCACAAAAGGGAAGAAGAAATTTTAACAACAAGAAACTAGTGGATCCAAAAAATGTTGAACGACAGGTTGTTGTTAAGCATCTCGACATGATATGGTCCAAGTTGCCTTATTGAGATTTGATTAGATGTGGAGACATGAAGGAATTAAGATACATCCTCCTTATAATGTGTTGCAAGAGTCAGATCAAAACAGATGTTGATCTCCTAATTAATCCCTGCTGAGTCAGGTATATCTACATCTATATTCCTCAAAGATGATAGATTTTCTTTAGATTTTGAATTTTTACACAAGTCCAAGAAAAGAAAGCCGATGTTATCAAAGATGATAGATTTTGTTTTTAAAGATGAAAGCTTTATTGAATTTTTAAATTTCTAATAATAGAGACAATTTATAATTAATAAGTACCAATTTGGGATGGGTGCTAATCCTTCCCCAAACGTAATCGACCACGAACCCATTTTTATTATTAAAAAAGAATGAATTTTTGGTTAAAACGCAGACCATTTTATCTTTTAACTGATGTTTTCCTAAAAACTCTTTTAAAAGATATTTTTTAAGTATTCAACCTATCTGACCCAAAAGGCCGATGGCGACTCCTTAAAATATTTAAAAAAAAACTATTTATTCACATTATTTTCCCGCCAAGTAAAAATTTCGTGCCCGGACGAAAACCGGTTACAACATTACTATTGTAGGAAAATAGAAAGAACATTGGAGGTATCGGCTGTTCGTAAATTCTGACTAGATGACTATTTAGATTTCAGAACTGCTAGTGTTATGGGAAAATTAGGAGGTTTAATTGTGGTGTTGAACAAAACTTTGTTTTCAATCAAAATTTCGATTGTTAATAGGAGGTTTATTTGTGTGTCGGGTAGCTGGTTACTTACAAGGATGAAATCGACAATTGTTTGTGTTTATGCCCCTGGAAATGTGACTGATCAGATGGATCATTGGAGTATTCTCTTAAGCCTGAGGTTAAATGATTAACATTTTTGGATAGTTGGTGACTTCAACGTGGTGAGGAGTAAATCTGAGAGAAGCGAGTGTGTGGATTCTCTGTCGGGGACTAAGGAGTTCAATAAGTTTATTTCAGAATGCAGGCTGGTATATATTCTGGTGAAGGGGAAGAAATTTACTTGGTCCGATCCTGCTCAGAAGAGGAGTAGGTTAGATAAATTCCTTGTGGACGAACAATGAGTACTTGGAAATGAGAACTTTGAGCTAATTTGCCTGAAAAGAGTGATTTCTGACCATGTAGCAGTGTTGTTAGTAAATGGAAGCCTTAATTGGGATCCAAAACTATTAAAAATTTTAAATGAGCGGCTTCAAAAAAAGAAAAAAGAATACAGAGAGATAATTAAGTTGGTATTCAAAAACGATCAGGGTAACGGGTCGGAGATACATCAAACTTAGAAGGTTAAAAGGTGCTTTAAAAAGGTGAAATCCAATTCATGCAGGGATTTTAATGTCAAGGATAAGATTTTTAAAGGAAAGGTTAATGATTTAGAAGAAGTTGGCAATTGCGTGGATTTGAGTAAGCATGATCAACATTTTATAAGTTTAATAAAGAAGGAGCTTTGGGAAGCGGTTAGATTCCAGGAAGAATTTTGGAGAGAGAAATCACGAATAAAGTGGCTTGCACTAGGGGGCTCCAACGCAACTTTTTTTCAAAGGGCGGTTAAATTTCGAAACCATAAAAGCAATATTAGAGGGTTGAGATTCCAAAAGAAATGGGTAACTGATCCTAAGAAACTGAAGTGAGCTCAATTAAGTCATTTCAACATCAATTTGGTTGCTCGAATCGAGACTGGAGTGCCATTTCCATTTTGAATTCAAGTCTATATCTATAGCATAGGCTAATACGCTGAAAGAGCCGTTTACCTCGAGGGAAATTAAAGAAGATGTTTGGTCGTGCGATGGTTCTAAAGTCCCTGGGCCTGATGGGTTCAACCTTTACTTCTTCAAAGAATGCTAGTCCCTTGTGAAAGATGAATTAAAAGGTGTGTTCGACAAGTTCCACAAATCTGGCAGGCTTCCTCTAAGCTTGAACTCATCATTTTTGTGATTATTCCGAATGTAAGAAACGCATCTGTTGTGTCTGATTATAGGTCAATTAGTTTGGTCGAATTGGCTTACAAAATCGTTGCTAAGGTATTATATAGTAGACTGAGGATGGTGTTAGAAAAATTGATTGGAGATACCCAGTACGCTTTTATAGCAGGTCGTCAGATATGCGATTGAATTTTGGTAGCGAACGAAATTATCCATTCTATGGCTTCAGGTCGTCTGATTATAGGTCAATCAGATGTCCTTGTACCTAGCCGGCACAAACTAAATCTCATTGAAAAAATCTTATTTTTATTTATTCATTGATTGAAGTAGTAGCATACTCTACGTAGCTACATATCAGCACATAGCCCTTGATGATTTAGGGAAGGATGGTGAAGGTCATTGTATTTCACAAGATAATCATTCAAAAGCTATTTTTAATATTATTTTTGAGAAATAATATAGAAATATTTTTAAAAAGCACATTAGGGTCATCTTTAATCTTGCATTTATAATTATTGTGTTCAGTTAAATAATATTATCGAAAGTATTTTCTGGGATTACTATTTCTTTATATAGGTTGAATATTAAGTCAATCTTTTAAATACTGATGATATTTTCCTCATCAAATTGTAAGTACAACTTATAGTATTTAAACTTTAATATCTATAACATGTGTAACATAATTTGTCACTTAATTTTACGTCATACTTTATGGTGGTATTGTACATTAAACATGAGACCACAATTATAGATTTTAGTCCAATATAAGATAAAATATTTATTTTATATATTATTTTTAAAAAAATAAATTATAAATTGATAATTTCACTCACAGATGATCTTCACAAAATTAAAAAAAACAATTCTTAAATTTCAAATTTTGAAAAATAAATTTTTTATTAATTGAAAAATACTTTTTAACTAAAGTTGAAAAGCTACCTCATTAGTATAGTACTGTACTTTTGAAGAATAATGCTAATTTGATCATACCCAAAGCAAAGTGATGTTTAAACTCTAAGGGCGAGGGCACATTCTCCCTAAAACAAGGATACTGCAATTTTTAAGCAGAAATATCAACAATCAAATAAAAGTATTTTTATATATATAAAAAAATCATTCTATGTTCATGAGTGAAAATTGAAGCCTGATCATATAATCAAAGGTTTGCTTCAATTACTTAATTCTTAGCTGGATCAAAGACTTGAGTTTTGACATTAGTTGTTTTCCATGGATAAAAAATTTAATAATGAAATCATTCAGAATAGTAAATGATTGAATACGCGTGTATGTTTGACATTTCATAGATTAAATTGTAAAGTGAAGGGTTTGCTTGACCTATAATTTACAAAGCACATGGTGAAGCCAGCTTTTGTGGCCATTCGAACACGAGTGATGGAAGCATAATGGTTACTTCCTTTAAAGGCACTGTTGCTTCCAATGTACACGAGCTCAACAAATGAATACCCTATATATATACGGGATAATAAAAGATTACTGATTCGTATCTCTTTGTGTAAGGAACATGTTCTCAATATCTCAATTCCACTCAACCGTTTGCTTAACAATTTCATTATTGTATTGATGGACTCTGTAATAAAAGCGAATGTTATTTTCTTATAGATTCTGAATTCGAAATATTATGTTTGTGTAATGCGTATACGTTGTCAATAAGTTAAAGAAATTTTAAATATATACTATCTTGTAATCCTTCCAAACTATTAAAAGAAAATAATTTCATTAGGACCAACCAGAAAGTACATGCATCCTCAGAATCTAAGGTATTTTTTTCTTTTTGAAAAAAGGAACTTTATTTTCTGGTTTCCTTGATCAATTATCTACTGTTTACGTAAAGAATGCCAATGTGTATATTATACTATCATAATTCAATACTACCACATAATGAGCAAGCAAAGCAAACGTTTTCTTGAATTTTCTTTGTATCTTGCATTTGCAATTATTATGTCATTTTCTTTGTTCTGCAAACAATCTAATCTTTCAACCCATGTCCATTTCTCCTACCTAAAGATATGTAGGACCCTTAAATACTCAACAATCCGATCAAAGAAACAAAAGCAAAAAAATGAACGTTCAAGGTTCACCATTGGCCATGGAGATTAAGACGTTAATTTTTTTCATATCACTCACTTCAATTCTATCCATGGCGTTCTCTAGGAGTACTCGAAGCAATATAACATGGTGGTGCAGCAATACTCCGCACCCGGAACCTTGCAGATATTTCATGAGCCACGGGCACGGCGCCCACCGTTTCGCTCCGAAACACATGACTCAGTTCCGGAAGATAATGGTTCGACTGGCCTTGGATCAAGCCATCATAGCCGGAAAGAACACCAAGGGGTTCGGCCATAGTTGTGAGAATTGGAAGCAGAAGGCAGCATGGAGAGATTGTCTCAAGCTCTTTGATGACACCATTCATCAACTCAACCGTACTCTACGAGACCTGGAGAGCAGCAGCAGGAAGAAGATGAGTTGCAGTGATTTCGATGCACAAACTTGGCTTAGCACAGCACTGACCAACATCCGAACATGCGAATCAGGGTTCATGGATTTCAATGTTTCAGATTCTCTCACTCCCTCGACATCCAATAACATTTCCCAAATGATTAGCAATAGCTTAGCTGTTAACGGGATCTTCTTGCGTAGGAAAAATCTTACTGAAGTTTTACCCCGTTGGCTCTCGAGGCTCGATAAGCGGTTGCTGCTGTCTTCGACAACAAAAGCGAGGGCACATCTTGTGGTGGCTAAAGATGGTTTCGGAAATTTTCGGACGGTTCAAGCTGCTTTAAATGCTGCCGCAAAGAGGAAAAGGACTACCAGGTTTATTATATATGTAAAAAGAGGTGTTTATCGGGAAAATATTGAGGTTTCCACTACTAACCTTAACATTATGCTGATTGGAGAAGGCATGAAACGTACAATAATCACCGGCAGCAGGAGTGTCGGCTCAGGTTACACTACCTACAGCTCTGCTACTGCTGGTACAATAATTTGATCTCCATCTCTCTCTTTTCTTTTCAAAATTTAAACACTTAATTATATTAATAACTATCATGCAATCACACGTTCACTTCCAGAAGATTAAAACCTGGAACTATCTGGTGGAGAATTTCAACCTGAGAATTTTCAGGGTCTCAATATGTCCTTATCGCACTTAGGGTTAGGGATATAGATGAGATGAGGCATATAACATGTTATTTGAGTTTGAATCAATCAGTTCTCGATTTGAATAAATATAACTTGAGTTCGAACTCGACTCAAAAAGTTAGAGAACAACCCGAAAGTATAATATGTTATATTTTTAGTTTTTGAATTAAATTATTAATTATAATATTAAAATTTATATGTTATTTTTTCTTTAAAAATTACAAGGTTTTTATATACTTAAAGTTCATGTTCAAGCTATAATCAAATGAGTTTGAGAATGCTTTGAGTTTAAATTTTTCTAGCTCGAATCGAGCTTCAATTTTTTTATTTTAAGTTCAAGTTGAGCTTGACAATTTTAAGCTCGCTAGATTTTGATTCGAGTCTAGTTTAATTTTGAACTTTTCGAATTGAGTCGAACTAAGTAATACTCGAACTCGACTCAGTTCGTTTACGGCCCTAATTGCACTATATTAAGACTAACATTTTGAGTTGCTGACGGTAGGCATCGACGGCCCTGGGTTCATGGCTCTGGACATGACATTCAGCAACACAGCAGGGCCATCAAAAGGCCAAGCAGTTGCACTCCGATCCGCATCTGATCTCTCGGTCTTCTACAGATGTGCCATCCAGGGATATCAAGACACCCTCATGGTACATTCACAGCGCCAATTCTACAGAGAATGCTATATCTATGGCACCGTAGACATCATATTTGGCAATGCAGCAGTAGTTCTACAAAACTGCTCCATCTTTGCCAGAAGACCCTTAAAGGGACAGGCAAACATGATCACCGCACAAGGCCGAAACGACCCTTACCAGAACACCGGGATCGCGATCCATAATTCGAGAATTTTAGCCTCAAACGATCTCAAACCGGTGGTCGGTACAGTCAAAACATACTTAGGGAGGCCATGGCAGCAGTATTCTCGGACGGTTGTCCTCAAAACTTATCTTGACATCTTAGTTAGTCCTTCGGGGTGGTCGAAATGGGGCAATTCTGACTTTGAACTTAATACATTGTACTATGGGGAGTATAAGAATTATGGACCGTCGTCTTCAACTAAATGGAGAGTTAAATGGCCTGGTTTTCATGTTATAACTAGCCCCAGTGTGGCATCACGTTTCACTGCTAATAGCCTTATTGCAGGCGGATCATGGTTACCGGCCACTGGTGTGCCATTCACTGCTGGCCTATGAAAATGTACTATACAGACCAGAATTGTCATTATTCATTGTATTTAATTATTTTTACTTTGATTTTAGTTCGTTGTGAATACATTCTTGCCTATGATCAATAAAATGCGTTTAAAATTCTTTTTATTGATACTTTACTAATTGGCACTAATAAGTAGGGCTATAAATGAGTCTAGTAGAATTTGAGGCCATTAAGTTTGATTTTATTTGAAAACTTACAAGTTTAAATTTGTCAAGTTTGACTTGTACTCGAAATAAAAAATTAAAGTTAGACTCGACTTGAAATAAAAAATTGAAGCTCGACTAAAACTCAAAAAAACTTAAACTCGAAATATTCTTAGACTTAGTTCGATTGAAGCTCAAATTCAAGCTCGACCTTAAACCTTAAAATACATGAAACCTTATATCGTATATTTCAAAAAAAACATTTAAATATTAATATTATTAATACTTTAATTTAAAAAAATCTAATACATTATTTTTTCGAGTTACTCGTGGATTTTTCGAATCGGATATCAAGTAGCTCATTTCGGCTCGTTAAGAATTCGAGCTCAACTTGAATCTATTTGCTTTGATATTTGATTGAGCTTTGATCCAATTAATCTCAAAGTAACTCACGATCTATCCATCTCATTTACAATCCTACTAATCAATATTAATGTTGGAATATTTTTTGTCACGCAAAATTGGGTTAAAATACAAGAGAGGGAATAAACTATGAAGTCCAAGAAGGCGTGAGACAACTAATAGCCAGAGAGGAGCCCAATAAAAACAGAGCCAGTGAGCTCAATTACTGAGAAGACTCAAACCCAATGACTCTGTTCGCACCAAGAAACTGGCCAGGTTCATTTAAAAAGAAAAACAGGTCTCGTTAAAAAATCTTTTCTACCTAATATTAAAATGTTGGTCCTACGAGGAAAAAATGCCTTAAATATATTAAATTAAATAAATCATACATCGGTTAATACCTTTGAAGAGATAATCTCTTGATACTCCGAATAAAAAAACAACAAAGACAAAGAATAAAGGGTTTATTTAACTAAACAATCAGCAACCTAATTGTAAGAACTTAACTAAAGAAATATGAAAACTATCGTGGCAATCACAACTTTATAATAATTTTGTGCGTTGAACCTTAAAAAAAATTAATTTTGTGAGTTGAAGATTAGAGGTCAGAGAAAGGGTATTAAATAAGGCAAACAAAACCTTTCATTTTTTATTAAAATAAATACTTACTCCATTTTGTGATACCCAGCGGAGTCACCAAGCTATCGTAACCGTTCTTCGGGTAACCCCAAAATTGGGCTTCGTCTTTAATAAAACATGCAAGAGCCGCCATTGATCATTTATATTTTTTACATGTTAAATTAAAATTTAAATATTCGATTCAAATCACTTACCTTTAATTGATTTTAAATTTATCCTAAAAAACGAAGCCAAATGAAAATAAAATAATAAAATAAAATAAATAAAAGAATATTAAAAAAAATAAAAAAAATAAAAAAATAAGTTTAGGGATTGAATAAAAAATAAAATTAAAAGGTTAAATCGGAAAATATGAGGAGTTTGTGGGCAAATTAAAGTTAATTGGGGGGCTACAATGAAAGAAATAAAAGTTAAGTGTCCAATTTTTAAAAATATAAAAATATAAACGAGGATTAAATTGAATAAATTAAAATTTTGAAGGCAAAATTATGCATGGTGACCAAAATGAATTATGCATCAAAATATCTGGGACTGTGAAAATAATTTAACTATTTCATAATTACACAATGACCCTCCCTATAAATACACCTCAAAACACAAAAAAAATAAACATCTTATTTCACCCAACTGAGCCCTCTCCTTTCTCTAAGTTCTCTCTATCCTCTCCCCTAATCGACTTATGGTCGACCATCACTCCAATGATGCCCCGCCTCGCCGACCACAGCTCCGACCACCACCACTGGTGGCTGAAAACTTAAAACCTACCCAAAACGTTCTCTACACCACCCCAACACCAAAACCGAACCCCAGGTCCCCTAAAAATCCCTTAAACGACGTAGATCTAAGGTGAAAGATTTGATTTTTTACATAGTGGCCTTTTGTATTTCAGTGTCCTTGTTCCTCACAGTGGTGCTTTCCGTCGTGCAGCTGAATCTATTTTCTTCGTACCTTGATATTTGCGATGGATATTCAAATATGCTTTTTTCTTTTTTTTTTTGCTTGTGTAATGTTTGGATGGTTTTAGTTTTGCTTGTTATTGCTTATATTTTGTTTGGTGTTTTTCTTGTGATTTTGGTTGTTTGGTTGTTTTCCGATTGATCCTTTTTGACATATTAGGTGGGGGTATTTATACCCCACCGCCGGTGCTTGTTGTTTCAGCCCCCAATGGGTTGTTTCTCTCGTTCCCATTATTTTTGGGCCGTTCGGTCGTGAGTACGACCGACAATCCAATGATAGTTCAGTCCTGGGTCCTTTGGCTGGGAATCTCGGCCGGTCTGTTACCACATTGGCGCGTGGCCTTCACGTGCTACTCCTGATGCTTCCTGGCCGTTGGATCAAAGGGCCAGATCCAACGACCCTTGGTCGTGCGACGCTCCTTTTCTAGACATAAAACCCTAATCGGGTTAGGGCTGGGTCAGGCCCCTTACCCGATTGGGCTTCTGTTGGAATGATTTTGGACTCTTTTGGGCCTAAAATAATAAAAGAAAAATAAAGAATAAAGAATAAAGAATAAAATAGAATAAATAAAAAAATAAATATAATTATAATAATAAAACTATACAATATAAAATATGTTTTCAAAAATCGTTTTTAAAAAAATTATATATTATATGTTTTCAAAAGTATTTTTGAAAGCTATATTATATACGTTTTCAAAAATGCTTTCAAAACTATATATTATATGTTTATAAAAATGTTTTAAAAACTATATATTATATACGTTTTCGAGAAATGTTTTTAAAACTATATTATATATATATATATATTCAAAAATATTCAAAACTATATATTATATTCGTTATATATATACTAAATAAAACCCAGACGAAAATGAGTGACTACAGTTTAACCTTCTAAATAAGCTTCAATGCAAAGTGTTTCATCGCTTCAGGAGAATCATCAGAGACTCTTAATTTCTTTTCTCTTGGCAAGAGAGGTTGACAGTGGAGCAGTTGGAACAACATTTCTCATGCTCTTTCAGACCTTCTGGTTGTAGAGCGCCATATTTTCCTCCTGGTGATGTTTCTGCAAAAGCCACTGACCAGTGCAACATATGAGATCAGGTCACGTTCAATCCGGTTTCTGTCTGTCGCAGTCGTCTTTCGGGTGGGCCTGAAATTAGGCTTTGACTTAAATAAATGGGTTAGAGTCACCACCGATCATTTATTTTTTAAAACATAAAAAAACTAGGTTAATCAAACACCTTTTAACCTGATCTATGTTTTACCAGAAATATGTCGGATTCGAGAGTCGGTTGCAGTCAAGGAAGGATTAGCACCCTTGTACTGCTCTTTCGGTACTAATTTAATTTCTAGTTCTCTTAATTAAGAAAATTACAAGTTAAATTAAAAAGAAAAAAATTCGATTCAAATTACTTACCGTTAATCGATTGAAATTACCTCTAAAAAATTGAAAATGTTAGATTATAAAATAAAAGAAATATCAAATAAAAATTAAATTAAATTAAAATAAAATAAAATAAAATAAATCAAAGAAGGAAATATTAAAATTTAAAAATGCTATACAAAAATGTTTTAAAAAATAAAATAAATGAAGAAAATATTAAATTTCAGAAAAGAAAAATAATAAAATCTAAAAAATGTTAAAAGAGAAAATAAAAATAAAAAAATAAAAAAAAGAAGTGGGAAAATAAAAATAATACAAAACAAAATAAAAAAGTGTTAAATAAAATAATAAATAATAGTAACAAAGATAATAAAGGGGTTTTTAAAAGTTGTTTTTAAAATAAAAGATAAGAATTAAATAAAAATAAATAAATAATATAAAGATATTGAGATAAAGAGAAACTTATAGTGAAAGCAGTCTTAGACTTCAGCTTTGATCAAATTCTTCGGATCATCGAAACATATCTTTACTTCAAAATTCAATTCTACTTACAAGGACAATTCTTCGTTGCCAACTCGGATTATGTTGTTTTAACAATAACTGGTTCTGATCTTAGTTTCCTTTTAGCAAACAATTTTGCTAAGTGTGTTCTCGAAAATTCGAATATGCTTCAAAAAGTCAATCATTCTTACAATTCTCACGTTTGGAATTGAGTCTTCGCTTTAGCCCTTGACTTAAAAGAAAATTAACTAAGCATGACCAAAGTCATACTTAGCATTTGTTGAAAACGAAAATTAAAAGAAAATAAAGGAGTATGCAAAAATAGGGAGAAAGCTAGAGAAAAAAAAAGATTTTATTCTCAGATGTGTGTGTCCTTAGGCTTACCCTGAGAGGGTATTTATAGCCTTCAAATTCCTAAAAACAAGCTAAAGATAATTCCTAAAATAATATCTTTTATCCAAATTAAAACACTTAAAACTATTTAAACTAAAATACCTAAAACAAAGATAAAATAAAATAATATTTAAAATAATATCCTAAATCCTATTTAAAATAATATCCTAAATCATAATTGAAATACAAACATCTATTTAAACTAAAATAAAAAGATAAAATATAATATTATTATATATACTAAATAAGCCCCAGACGAAAATGGGTGTCTACAACTGCCCCTCTTTTTCCTTTTTGGTGCAACGAAAAATATGACAAAGATAAAAGGACATAAAATTTTGTTCGGTAGTTGCGGATGACTTCTCCGTCGCAAAGTTGGGTCAATCGTTTGGGTACGATATCCTTCGTTGTGAAGTCGAAATCCTAGGTGGCTCATTCGTTGTGAAGTTGAGCTTTGAACTGAAAAATCCTGAGCACGATATCCTTCATCGTGAAGTTGAAACCGGGCTCAAAGCATTGGAAAGTCGTTCCTGGATCGTCTTCAAGCCCAATATACTTCGTCGTGAAGATGAAATTTGACCTGAAGACTTTGTTA